AAAAGGGGCAGTTTTTTTCCCAACACGGGGGGGGCCCTGTTTTTCCCCTGGCCCCGGAGGTCCCCCCCCCCCCCCCCCAACAAGCCGCCATACGAGGGAGCTACATATCCTACCATGCCTCTCCATGAGCCATCTGAGCCACGAAGTACTTGCTGTCGCGTTCAACCAGCTCAGCAGCAGGGCGGCTGGGGGCTGCTGCAGCAGCGAAGTAGTGAAGAGAGAAAGAACATGCAATGACGACCGACGTTTTAGTTACTTTGGCTTGGGTCGATCAGCCTCCCTTGGAGTTGTAAGGCTTCCTTCCCGGGGGGACGACCACCACTCGTGCAGGAAATATCTCCGGTCTTCTCCATTTGATCTCCGTTCTGGCTTTCGTGGAAGATCTCCTCCGCTTTGCTCCAACGCACGTGCGTTTGCCATCAGTCTAAAACCCTCCTCCACCCATGTCTCGTTGTCGTTGATGTCCCTCATCTATCGCGCTTCAGCCCTTCAGTCGGCCCTAGACCGGCGGCGATTCCATACGAAATCTGAGTACGGGTGTGGCCTGCACTCCCCGCAAAACGGTTTCGGGTTGCGCACACAAGCGGATGGGGGTGAAGCAAAGAGGAGCGAAAAAAGGGGCAAGAGAAGGAGACAAATGAGCGACCAATCAAGCAACACACGCACGTTAAAAAGAGACACGATGGGAATTGGGGGCGGCGTGAGGCGGGCAAGAGAGAGAGGTTACCCCGACCAATAAAAGCCTACGGGAATGCGGCGTGTTGCCAACGAAAGCAACGGGCGTACGTTGCATTACATTTCGGAGAGCGGAGTCACAGCAGTCCTCGACCCCCCTCCCCCAAAATCTCTGGCACCCAATCGTCTCGCAAAACAAGTCAACTACAGCCAACGTTCTCGCCAACATCGGTGTCATTTGTACCGTACCTGATCCATCCCACAGGAGGCACGACCATCCTACAGTAAGAGACGACGAGAGGCCATGTACGAAGGCAGCACGGGTCACATAACATCGTGTAGAGAAAGATAACGCGGGCGGGAGAGAGAACAGGCGGGTGAGGGTAAAATACAAGGGAGGTGGAAACGCGGGCAAGGAATATGGGACACCGAAGGTTAGATGGACAACAACGTCGAAACTTGCGTTAAGTACTTCACGCAGGTAAACTATTTGAGGGGGTGCGTCGAGCTTCAAAGACAACGACTTTGTGTTAAGTCGGGGGGCGTCAATAACGCCGGTTGGGTAGCGCCGGTGGCCCTGAGTAGCGCCGGTGAAGTTGCTGGGCACATACCGGCGTTATTGAGCCCCCCCCCACGGTATATCGCCCCCGTCTACAATTCTGGGCAACAGCCAGAGTCGCACCATAGGAAGGAATGGAACACAGGAGTTTCGTTTTTTTGCTCCACTTTGTATTCCCGTGGCGCTTGCCTTCAAGTTTTCCCAAGAGAGAATGTTTTCTTTGTCGCACAGACAGAAGAAACGGACATGTAATGCTAACCAGAATAATCCAATGCCTCATGTTCTCTCGGAAACCTGGGGTCACCAGAGAGGAAGAACCTCCGATACTCTTTCTGTCTTTTCCGTGGAGGATAGCACGCATTTGCTGTAGCTATAGAGCACGTGAAAAGAGACGGAAGGACAGCAGTAGGCAGATGGCGGCAGACAATAGTTTCTGATGGGCCGAGAGAGGACGCAAACGCAGAAGCGCGGCGGGCGGCGGATCAGAGGCCAGCGCTCCAAGTCCACTCCCGACCCTACAACGGTGTGTGCCCACAGGTCACGACAAGTGTGCCAGACACCGGTTATGACATGCCCACTATAGACCAAGTCACAGCTACTTAGACAGCAGTTAGTCATGCTCCATATCGAAGAGCATTAGTCTCGACAGATAGCCCGATACTCGCACCAGGGCTATTCGTGCTCCTTCAACTACTAAAAAAAGAAGAGAACGAAGAATTTGTTCGGCAGGTGCATCGGCGAAACACTTCGTTTTCCACACCCACGTGCTCTCTGTCTCTCACATGATCGATGTTGCTGCCGCCCACACCATTAGCAAATCCCTGCGCAGCCGCGTGGTAGTTCAAACAGTCGAACACGCGCACGAAGGCGCCACCGGGGGGGGCGGGGAGACGCGAACAAAGATACGGTAGGGGTGGAAGGGGCAAGAAATAAAAGGAAGATGACGATGTTAACACAGCGGGTGGTCATCCTGCGGTACGACGAGGTCGCAACGATATTCACGGAGCGGGTTTCAAAACCGACAATCCTAAGCTGCTACATACTATTTCCCAGTGACGTTCACGGAGCGGGAGCGGGTAAACACTGCTCCGTCCTGTTCAGGGATAAAACTTCAAGACAATTCTGCCGAGCACCGTGGAGTACCTACAATTACTTTGTTGCGGACCCCCATCAATGAAGGCAGCTATCTACTATACGACAGTTTGCCGGAGGCGTAAGACGAAAACTGCAGGCGGTTCTCCTGCAACCCTTGACGCTTGAATGCATTCGCGCCATCCGCCTGCTCCTGCCGAACGATCAAGGTTCGCCCCACGCCCTCCCCGCCTTAGCTCAACAGCCGACCGTATCTATTGATGATCGATAAAATGTAGCACAAAACTTGAGCTGCAGTCACTTCACCGCAGAGCTTGAAGGAGAGATGTCAGGGCTGGCGTATAGAGAACCATGCGGATGAAATAAAAACAACCGAAGACCAATGATAGGATGGTGGACGGGGCTAAACTCATAGCTTCGGCGCGCACTGACACAAAAAAAAAAAAATCGACGCTGGTCGGACGCACGGGTTGAGGCTGTCCCCATCTTGCCAGCTACCTCACGCCCTCACTCCCTCACTCACCACAAGAGATCGAACCTGACGATGATGAAGATTGGTAGGAAGATAGTCAGCTGCAGCCACCCACCGCCGAGGGCGTCGGCATAAAACGACACACATCACCACGACCGCACACGCAACATGAGGACACACAACAGCAGAGAGTGCGGGCGGTACGTGCAAGACGGCAGACAGAAGGGCGGAGGTGAAATACAATATATTAGTGCCGCGGAAGGTTAAAATTATTTTCTGGTTTTAATTTTTTCTGGCCTCTTTTGTTCGGAGAACCTCGAGGGCTTGTTGTTGGATGGATAATTCACGCTCGTGCCCTCGACCAATCACGGGCTTCAATCCTTGATATGGGCAGACCGCCTATTTTAGGAGCAAGTTGTGATTCCGGCTTTACATAGATTCAACACGAGTTATTGGCTAGGAGAAGGAGAAAATCTACAGTAGCGTCGACAACACACGGGATAGATGAAGCAAAGAGCATCACGAGGTGAGCAAGCTCCGCGGCGAGTAAATCACAAGAGCGAGGCGGTAGCTTGTCCATGACACTTTGCCGGTAGACTGCTGGGGTCACCTCGCAACCTGGGAGTGCGAAAAGTCGCAAACCCTTGTTTGTCAGGAGACATACACAAACCCGACATTGCGGGAAAAACCTCCTTGATTGACAGTTAGGATCTGCTGATGCGGGTTGCTGCTACTGTTGTTGTTGCTGTCGTTTGTGTTGTCTTTTTCGCAGAATGAACCGCTATGATGTCTATCCAGTGAGACCGGGCACGAAGAATCAATCTGATGAAACACCGTCGGTGACCGATTCCAAGACTCGTGGCTCGGCCGCCTACTAGAACGACCACCTTGTGGCATACGCATAGTACATTTCCGTGTTCACCCCTACGCATGCTGCAAAGGACCTAATAGAACAGCAGTCAATCGAAGTGTAACACTTTCTTCTAGCAGGACCGCCTTGTCGGCATCACGTTTGCTGCCCTCTTCCTCACTTACCGTAGACCACATGTTGATGAGGACGCTCTTGGTGGTCTGGGGCCTGTCGTGGTTCCCCATAACTCAGCCCTTGCCTCTCTCCCTTTTCTCGCTTTGTCTACTCCCGGCCGCGCAACTCACAACCTCTCAAGGCTGTCTTTCTCTCTCTACCCCGCCGCCGCTGGCTCTTATGTGATGCTTTTCCCTGTCTCTGTCGCCCCGTCCTTAGTGCCCTGGGTGATGTTTTGAGTTCCTTGTTAGATCTCGATCCAGGATGCCAAGAGCCTTGAAGCTACCCGGAACAAAGGTAACACAGCAGGAGAGAGGGAATGCATGCTTTGAGCGGCTGCGGTGTCGGCGTGCTTTTGCTCGATGCTCTTGAAGTCCACGGCTGGATGTGTGTCATGAAATAACATCAACTTGCACATGGCTGACTACTGAATACTGCTGTAAGTTCTAACGCCGCCTACGATCCATGGACACACTTAGTCACGAGGCGACAGACTAGTGCCACGACCGAAAGCTAACCGTTGAAGGAACCGCCTCGTTACACATAGGTACGCCAGAGGCGGAGAGCTGTGAGGCTCTCTTGTCGCAAGCTGAGCTATCCTATGAACAGCACTAATGCATGTACCATGCATACATGCATCTGCTTGTAAGGACCCCGTTTGGAGGATTTTGGGGTATTGTGTACTTATAGCCCCATTCCAGCTGTGGCTCTTCTGCAGCTGGCACGCACGTCAGCTGCCCGAAACTCGTTGGTGACTGGACAACCGTCATAGTCTTGTGGCTGCTGCACAGGCTGCCGGCACACAACGACCAAGTAGAGCTCTACCTCCTACTACTACAACTCGAACCTCCCTCCGTGCACACCTGTATGCACGTACTTCGACCCCTAATCATATATCTTCGCAAGCTCAACTCTCTTTTCGTTCAGTACGCGGCATGGCATTTGCACACTTCCTGCTTACCTTCGACAGCAGTTCGGCGTTGGCAGATGGTGGTGCGTATGCCTGTTCTTGTACGTACCACAGAGCAAGCTGCGAGCCTACGCGACCAGCCGCCATGACCCTCCCGCACGTAAGGGGGCTCCGGTGCTAAGATAGAGATTTGGGGTACTCACGCAGCTGCCCGTACTGTAAGTGCGTGCACTACGTACATCATGTGGACAGATCAGGAGTTTTCGAGCCAGAGCAGAGCCACAACACTGCCGTTGCGTCCGGCGTCCGCTGCTACTTCTTTGCTTGCTTGGTGCATCGAGGCACAATGCTGAACGCCATGGTAGCGACATCGCTGACTACGATCCTCCTAGTCGTTAGCCTTCCTCCCGCACTGATGCTTGTGCTGACGAGGGTGACGGGGAAAAGGTGGGTGTTTCCGAAAAACTCTCCGATTCAAACACGAAATCAATCCTACTTGCCGTAAACACATGTGGGTTGCGTACTTTCCATTCCCGTTTATTTACCCGCTCGAGAATTGTTTTGTGCTTGTTGGCGTACACTGCTGGCCGTGGCTTGCTGTGAGAAGAGTCGCGGACTCCCGGACGAAATTGTGAATCAATGGACTGACTGCTGTCTGCTGACTGCTGTTGCATCGAAATCCGCACGGTTGGGAATCACGCCGCGTTTTGTTGATTGGGGTTGCGGAGTGCGGAGTGCGGGCGTGGAATGTGGATCAGCATGTAGTGCACTCTGCTGGATGCCGGACTAAATTGAGTGTGTTTGTGTGAGGTAAATTCGCTGAGAAAGAAGTGATGCCGGCATTGCTGTTGGTGCTCTTGTAGGGGCGGGTCTCAAACGGAGAACATGTACTTGTACATGAGTGAGGGTCATCTGAGTTCTCTACTATACTACAAGCAGTCTAGACAAAGGGCACTACAAGATTCCCATGTGTTCATGAATGAAAGATTGAGCACCCCGCGCCAGCCGACCTACCAAAGCGGGGCCTCCCCGAGCTGTACAACACGATGGGTGCCTTCGCCAACAGCAGCTTGCAAGCGAAGCGTGATTTTCAAACAAAGCCACTCTCTACTCATTCCACTTGTTTTTTATGCCACCCGCCACAACATTCTCCCGCAATAATTGATCCCCCGCTCTCTCGACCCCCCCCTCCCCCCCCCCCGCCGTTTGCAGAAGAATAGCCTACCTGCCCGGCAAGGTAATTTGGATTACCGGCGCCTCCTCCGGGCTAGGCGAGCAGCTTGCGATATCGGCGGCGGCCGGAGGCGCGGAAGGGCTGATCCTCAGCGGGCGGCGCGAGGACGCCCTGGAGAGGGTGAAAGGGGCATGCGAAGCTACCGCCAAGGACAGGGAGGTACGAGTCCGGTTGCTCCCGTTCGACGTCGCGGACTTGGAGTTCGCGGAGAAGGAGGCGGCAGCGAGGGCCTTGGGAATGTTCGGGCGGGTAGACGCGCTTGTGCTCAACGCCGGGGTGAGCAAAAATATTTTGCGAGCGAATGTCCCTGTCTGCTGAAGAACGGCGGGGATCCATCTATTGACCGACAGAATATTTTCTGCGTTCTAGGGTGGAGCAAAGCGGTGTTTCCACCTGAAACGCTAACTTTCACGATCAAGCACAGATGTTTCCTTTTGTCGTATGAACAGAGTGGTACACTCTGCGCGCCGGCGACTCGGCCCCGTGAACAGATGTGTGTCTCTGCCGAGTTGTCACTTCGCCCCACCTTGGGGGCTTGCACAGCTATTGTACATAGCTCAGTCAAGCTAGGTGGCGCCTTGGTCCGATCGAATCGTCGTTCCTATTGTAGTACAAAAGGAGCTCTCTAGGTTAAGTATTTTCTCTTTCTCCGTTTCCCACCTCCTTCGCTGGCTGACCGATCACGTACAATCGTGCTTGAATCAAACGTGGACGACGACTCTTCTCAGATTTCCACTCGAGGGAGCGTAGCAGAAACACCCCTCGAGGTGGATAGACGCGTCATGGCTGTCAACTACTTTGGCCCGGTCGGCCTGGCGAAGGGCCTGCTAGAGGCGACTCGGGATCTCCCGCCGCCGGAAACACGGAAAACCGCGACGTCGACTGGGGCAACAGCGGTGCTAGCAACACCGACGACGCCACCCGAGGCGACGGCAGCAGATACTTTCGCTAAAGGGAGTGGCAGCGGGCCAACAACGACGGCAGCAGGAGGGCCGGGTGCAGGTTCGGGATCGGAGGGTGTCCGGTTCGTGGTGGTCAACAGCGTCCAGGTACTGTACTGCACCTGAACCTAGAGCAAAAAACCTCCCAAGAATTATCCTGATCAACATGTCTTACACGGCAACGCTTATTCTGTAGACACGAGAGGAAGTTTCGAATGTTTGAGCGTAGCAGCTCGTGCCTCTAGATGAAGCGTCATCCAGGCAGACGGAGGCACAGTAGGGTCCCTACCCCCATGTGTTGGCCTTGAATAGACATGAAATAAGCGAGTTATTTTTTGTTTTTGTTTCTGCAGGGCAAGTTCGGCATGGCCAATCGCTCGAGCTACGCGGCCTCAAAGCACGCCCTGGTCGGGTTCTTCGACAGCTTGAGGGCGGAGCAAGCACGCAGGGGAGTCGGCGTTCTCAACATCTTCCCGGGATACGTCCGCACCAGGTTCGTCAACACATGTGGCAAGAGGGAAAATTGGCATTTGGACAGCTTCAGGTGGTCTTAGACGCTCAGAGAGTGCGCCCCCATCACCCCCACCCACCCCCCCAATTGGTTGGGTTGGTTGGTCGGGGTAATGGATGGCTTTCGTTGATTTTTTGCACAGCAGTCGCCGAGCCCGGGCTAGAAGTTGAAGCCGCCTTTGCTTACCCCTTTTTTCTGGTGTTCCGAACCGGATGAAGGTCTTTCTTGGTTCCTTTCCGAACAAGCTACGCCGTGGATGTTTGAACTTTGCAGTCTCCTTCTCGGAACGTCTGTCTGTCTGTCTGTCTGTCTGTCTGCGTTCGTTCGTTCGCTCTTTGCAGCTTGTCGGTTAACGCGCTCACTGCGGACGGCACCAAGCATGCTCAAATGGACGCCACCACCGCGCAAGGTCGTGACCCGAGGGAGGTGGGAAACGTGACCCGGGGCTTGCTTGTGCTCCTGCCTGATACCGCTGCTGCTGCTGTTGTGTGAACGCTGTGGTGCCGACTTGCGACAACCGTAGACAATACGGGTGGACAATATTGAATCGAGACTTGTGCAATACTGCAGGGGTAAGTGTCGCTGCTGTGCCGGAATTGATTTCCAGACCGGATGGTCAGTGTCGAGGTCTCAAAAGAGAGCGAATGGCTCGCCACATGTCTCTCTTGCACTGCAGTCGACCTTCCTTGCGCCCTACATTTCGGTTAGACATTATCGCCTTCGCGTTCGTTCTCTCGTTGCGTTGCTTCGAAGGTGGCCGATGAGATCTGGCAGGCGGTGTCCGAGGACCAAGACGAGGTGGTGATTGCCGACCTCAAGACGAAAGTGGCGGTGCTGCTAAGAGCGCTCGCGCCCCGAGTGCTGTTCAGGATCATGGCCAAGCGAGCTCTCAAGGCCAAAGAGGGGGCACAATGAAAAGAGGAATAGGCGGGAGGGGGGGGGAGGAGGGGGTTCCCGTTGTTGATTGCGTTAGAGGATTGACCACGCATCGGTTTCAGGCGAAGCATTGCTCCTGTTATCTCGAGTTGTAATTTTGCCATGCGTTGTCGCGCGCGCACGAGAGGGAGAGCTGGGTGTATGCCACACTTCGTCGTTTGAACATGTCCATACAGATGCCCATATTGGTTTCATGCGTGTCGAGAGTAGAGCGTGGAGCGTGGGCTTGTGTTCTGTCGTAAAACCGATAGGGTAGTCCCGCTGCGATGTGTTTGTGTGTATTTTCTGAGTTTGCGGGCTTCGCCATGCGGAAGACATGTATGGCTGTGATAATCGCCGCAGAAAATAGGAGGTTGTATGCATCAGTGGTGGACTCTGGTAGCCTAATAATAGCGGAATTGTGAACGAAAGAAGATACGTAGTGCCCACCCCCGCGTTGAAGTTCTTGCACAGCCACACCACCAGCGGCAATAGCCCGCTCGAAGTCATGGCATCATGTTCTAGAAGCGTCTTTTTGCCGTTGCCGAAGCAGCGATTGGCGTGGAGAGATAAAAAAACATTGCAACAACGTCCGAGACAGGTTATATTGTCACGTCAAAATGATCACCACGAGCACATTCTACGACCGACCCTGTTGCCGGCTGATCGCCGAAAACTTCGTCGATACAGGAACGGCCGCACAGGTCGCTCCACATCCCGGGCGGCGCCGCCACGGCTCGAACCGTGGCCCCTACACGTGTCGGGTGCGGCACTATCAACTCGCTCGCGTGCAGCAAAATACTCCGGTCCTCAAGCGGCTCTATTCTGCCCGCCCGCCGGGGAGGGGGCACCGCCGATTCGTCGGTTGCATCTCCCCCCCTAGAGCGACCGTACCGCGTGTCCCCGACAACGGGGTGGCCCATCTCGGCAAGCTGCACCCTGATCTGGTGCTTCCGCCCCGTGATGAGCCGCACGCGGACTAGCGTTCGCGGGTTCCCGGTTCGAGGGCAACGGAGCCGAACGGCGGACGAGGAGGACACATTGATCGCTTCCCACTCGAGCTGAGCGAGCTTTCCGTCCGGCGATGACGTTGGCCCGGCGGCCAGCAGGCGACCACCCGCACCGCCTCTGGCTGGGACTGATGACAACCCTGCCCTCGGCCCCCTGCCGCGCCTCGCGACGGCCCCGCTCGCGTCCGGAGACACCAGCAAGTCTTGGCGGATGCCGCGGCCGGCGAGGCTGCCGGCGACCACGGCGTGGTAGATCTTTTCGACGTCGTCCCGGGCTCGAAAGCTGGCCGAGAGGCGAGCGGCGGCCTTGCTCGTGCGAGCCACGCACATCACCCCTGAGACTTCATAACATAACAGAAACGACGAGAAGCAAGCCCGGGTTGACAGCAGCAGTTTGAGAAAGATTGGGGCGGGCGAGGGTACACGGTCAGAGGGCGGGCTGAGTGTGCGCGCGTCGCGCACCGGAGCGTTGCAGAGTTCGCAGCAGGCAAAATCATCAAATTTTTGGACAGATAGCGTACAACATAACGCATGGAGTAGAATCGTCGTTAGGTACAAAACCAAACGAATTTGTCCTTATCCACAGACAGAAAAGAGGAGTCCAGGATTCAGCACACAACTAGCAATTCTGAAGCTTTAGCTTCAGTCTCATCTTTCAATATCCGTGGAACTTTTATTCGCATAGCCCACCCCTTGCCCGACCCTGTCTCAAATGCCGATCTCGAGCAACAGTGTAAATCTCGTGGCGCCTCGAGTATGGTTCGGTGTGGAATCGCAAACCATGAGCCGTCCCCGAGTTTAAGCAGCTTCCGCCTCCTGTGGCCGGCAAGAGTTGACCTTGACTGTTCCTTGCCCTGTTTCGCCATGGGAACGGCAGGTTGAACAGCGAAAGAGGGTCCTGCGTGCTGCGCGCCACAATCTTTTTTTATTTATTTTTTGCGTTTGTTATTGAGTGACCATGTGTACAAATGCGGCTGCTGCTGTGGTTGCTGCTGTTATGCTCGGAATGTGCTGCTGCAATGGTCGTACGGTTATCGTAGTCAGGTGTGACAACAGTCTCCTCCTTCGTATAGCGGTAGCGGTGCGCATCTACCGCGACGGCAAGCGCATTGAGATAATAGTTCGTCCGTCGTGCTTCTAGTCTACACACACAGATAGTCGTGTTCTTCTTTGTTGCCACTTCAAACTAGAAAAGAAAGAAAGTCTCCACCAACTTACAGGCAGTATCTCCACAGCAGTTCAGAAACGACGACTACTGTAGACTATTTTTCTTTTGTCGTGTTTGTTGTTGCTGAGCGCACATCGGCGGATGTCGCCGTTCCTTACACGTGTTCAAGCCTGCGGTGGGCCAGAGGGATGAGAGTGGGTGTTCTCTAGAGTTCATGCATTGTCTTCTCGAGTCTCCCTTCCTTTAGTCTCTACCTCTCTCTCTCTGTTGCATTTTTGCCGTTAGGGTCCCAATAACATCGAACGTCAATGGCAATCAATCGTTTTGCATCTCGCTGAGTAGGAGGCTATCCGTGTACCCGGTTGCTGCATGTGAGGCGATGGGCGCCGCCTCTTTCCGTCAAGAAATGCGCATGGCCCCTACGGTTCGCCGCACATGTAGTGCTGTGTGACAGCTTCCAGCGGTTCAGAGCGGCGACGATGTTTTTCGCCGGTAGGGCCGCAGAACAACGCGAACCGCGACTGTTTCATTGTTTTGGGGTCCCCCACTCAACCAACCCACCCATGAATTTTGTTTTTTTTGTGTTTCCCTACCGACTAACAACCTCGGCTACTGCAGTGCAAATTTCATGGCGCCTCAAGTACGGTTCCGTAGGGAATTGCAAATCACGACCCCTCCCCGACATTGAGTATAGCTTCAACCTCCTGCGGCGGATAAGACCGACGTCAAACCCTAGATTTTGTCTGTCTGTGTCGCCATGTGGCCATCCACGAATAGCAAGCAGTTGGAGAGTCACAACAAAGAGGGTCCGCTTCGCCACCAAGAAGACAGTTTTTTTTTCGATTCTTCTACAGCTGGATATGATGCTATCATGTATCGGGTACAGCTGTGGTTGAGCTTGAGGGATAGGTAGGGTCTACGGCAGCATAATATTCTGTACGAGGAGTTAACGCCTTCCTCGCGCAATGATGCGCATCTCCCACGGCAAGCAGAATGAAGTACGTCATCATGACGCTATTTCTTGTGACTACAAGTTCAAGTTCGCCCGGGCGTTATCGTTCTTACCGGAGAGAGAGACTAAACTTCTACTACAATACGTACCAGTCCGTGTACCCGGGTACTGCATGTTGTGAGGTAGTGGGTGCTGCCCCTGCTGTTTGCTGCGGTACATGGAAAGCTTCCGGTGGGTCAGAGCGGCAAGGGGGCCTTGTTTCTTCACTTGTTTCTTAGCTCTGCTCTCCTCTACTTCTTTGTTTCCTGTCGCTGGCGGTCTCTCTTTTTTTATCGCCCTTCGTTTTTGCTTGCAAGAAACTGTGAGGATGTAAACTGGCTGAGTCTGGCTGTTTCTTAGGGTCCCCCGCCCACCCACGACCCACCTGTCGGTTTGATTCGTGGTCTCCAATATTTTCAGCAGTATTAGTTGTCTGTACAGGATATGCGCTGCTACTGCTGCGTCCGTCCATGGGTGGGTACAACAGAGAGCCTGGGGACTGGTGGCCTTCTGACCTGATCGCAGAGAGAGAGAGAGGTTCCTGGCCACTGCCACAATACGACTCTTATTAAATGTCCATGACGGGGAACGCGTACTACACGCTTCTTCTTTTTTCTTTGTTCCCTCTCTCCCGTCCGTTTCTTTCGTTTCGGAGAGGAAACCTACTGCTGTGAAAAGCGCATCCTCTGGGGTTCGCATTCATTTAGTCCCGGATTCTTTCCCAGCGTGCGGAGAGCGCGTTCTGGTGTGTTCTCCTTTTCATTCGGGTGTGACGTGCGTACTACATGTATGTATGTAAACGACAGAAAAAGATCAACGAGATGATTTGCGGCATTCTTGAAAGCATGGAGCCCCTCGGCACCAAAAAGTGCATGTGCATGGATAAATGGGCGTAGTGAGAAGTGCCGGTCGAAGACTGACGGGTTTTTCGGGTGCGCGCGAGGTCGCCTCTATTATTCTTTTGCTTTTTTTTTCTTTGTTGTCCAGTCTATGGCTACTACCTCGCATAGCGTATTGAAGCGAGCGGGGGGTCCTAGACTAATCTGTCGTTGACTCGCGGACCCTTCTTATAGGATCAATTTTATTTTCGTGTAACTTTTCTGGGTAAGTTAGCCTGTGACCACGGCGGCGGGGATCGACCGCGTCAAGTGTCAGACTATATCATACGTAGTAGTACGGACAGACGAAGAAGGTACGGGGTAGAGAGAGCAGAACGAACGGGATTGTAATTGATTGTCAAGACAACAACAACGGAACTGCTGGGTTCGTCCATGAATAGTTTTTGCAGCACTTATGAAGTATTAGCGTATAAAACGACTTCTTCATGGATGGGTATTATAATGAGAGGTTTCAATTAATTCAACTACTAAAGAAATACAAGAACTTACTGGAGTATGGAGGGTGCTCCTTGTTCTTATGCATGGCATGTACCGGTAGGTGACATATTAGTATATCGCATCATCGATATTCACAGCTAACAATGTCAGTCCACGACGACGAGGATGTCAAACGATAATAGGTTTGTTTCGGAAAGCCATCGGTGCCAACGCCGCCCGGCCACGCCACGCTTTCTGCTGTGGAGTAGTCGAGCTTTGAAAATTAAAAACAAAATTCAGGGGGTATGACATCTTATTATGTCATCTACTCTGTGTACAGAACTCTTTGTCGTGCTCGGTGGGCGAGCGGTGTGCGCCCCCGACTTCATTAACCGCTAAAAAACTGGAAAGCTTCAGACAGGCAACGCGACGATACTCGTCGAGTTGCTATCACAACAGAATTAAGGAATAATAAAATTGAAGTCATTATGTACATAAAAAACGTCCACTTTGAAACTAAATCCGCGGAAAACAAGCAGCCATTCCCCACCTGGTCGATCGAGGCGATGCACCAAGGCAACGAACGCCTCCCCAGTCTTGTTCGCGGCCACCCTAACGTACTCCCGAGCAAGCGCGGCCACGTCCACGTCCCCGGTGCGATCGCTCTGAGACAGAAGCCCCGCCGGCTTGTTTACGAGAAGCACCTACCGGTCCCGTTGTTGCCCAAACCAAACGCGGCAATCAAGCCCGGACTGCCGTCAAACAAGGATTATGCTAATCTTCCTGAACAGCGGCCACGCTGGTTTCTTACCGTTGACATGCTCCATGAGGAGCAAACAATCGAGATGAAAGAGCGCGGTATGGTCACAAATTCATCGTCGTGGGCATGACGCTGTAGCATCTACAGGAGGCAGAACATGCGATGAAAACAAGGCAGGACGAATCAATCTCGGTGTCCTGATGATGGCTTCTTGGTGCACCACAAAACCGTGAGCATCGTACATGTATTGAGAGCACCCCATGCAGAAAGACAGGGAGAGAGAGAGAGAGAGAGAGAGGTGAAGATCTGACAGTCCCGCCGCATCACAAAAATTGTTTCTCGTTTTCGGCCGAAGCTGAGCTTGCGATTCCACCCCTCTTGAGCTACACGTTGCATCGTTCATACTTTGGTGATGTGAGCAGAGGGAGAGAAAGCTGCTGAACCAACACCCACCTACGACATACGACCCATTAACAGCAGTCCAGCTCACGTGGTTGTCCATGTAGAGCACGTCCTCTTCACGAAAAGATGGCCTCTGTGGCTGCAAGGGGCGTGCTCGGCTGCTAGCAGCACAGGCTTGTCTCTGCACACGAGCTCGCATCAAGAGCTTACAGGCGGCCACGCCCGTCCTTCCTGACACCGCCATGTCTCTCTCACGATCTACCCACAAACTAACTGCACGGGTGCGCCTGCTGAGCGACTGACGGGAAAAAACAAGGGAGGCGTTACGCTCGCGGCCACCAAGTTTTTCCGTTAGGGGAAGAGATCCAAACGTCCGACTCGAGGATCCATTGGAAAACATCAATACAAACACAGAAAGACTACCCATGCGAGATATGACCACAGTCGAACGGGGATGTGTTGAAGTCTCCACAGTTAATGGAGGGAAACCGGCTGGGTACTGGGCGTATTTGGAGTCGATTCAAATTCCATGCAAGAGAATTGCGTGGAACTGTGATTCAAGTTCACATCTTTCGTCGACGGTTCTATGAGTCAAGCGGCACTTCATCATCCATAGCCTGGTGGAACGACGGCGAACATGCTTCTCGCTACGGCCACGCTCTCAGCAGGTGCTTGGTTCAACTACTACTGCTGTCGTGAATTCTCTCCCTTTGGTGGGCGTTATATAGAGCGGGACGTATATTATAGTGCTTTTTCGTCGGCGCGCCCGAAGGCTGTCTGCCAGACCGCATGTTTTGATCCTCGTCGCTGTATTCCGCATACACTGCTGGCACGGCTACCGAGAGGGGACAAACAGATGTTCAAAAATAATGGTATGTCGCACGTCCGAACACTGCCGTGTATCTGCGGGCCCTCCCCCCGCCCCCAACCCCCCCCGGGTGTTCGCACATCTCCGTCCTCTCTCGGACGCGTGGCGCGTGGCGGATGGTCGACCCTTAGAAGGTGGGTAGTTCAACAGTCATGTGCCCACGCTCGAGTCTCCATCACCCTCTGCCATCCTCGTAACCCATTAGTGTGCGGTCCATCCAGACACCAGCGCGAAGTGC